AAACTGGAAAATATTTGTACAAATATGTATACAAAGGACATGATCGTATTAATTTTTTTGTTAGCAAAGATGAAAAAGAAAAAGAGATTGATGAAATATCTGCTTATCAATGTTAGACAATCAATGGGTTGTACCATATAATCCTTATTTAAGTGCAAAATTTGACTGTCATATCAACGTTGAAATATGTTCTTCTATTAAAGCTGTAAAATATTTGTACAAATATGTATACAAAGGACATGATCGTATTAATTTTTTCGTTAGCAAAGATGAAAAAGAAAAAGATATTGATGAAATATCTGCTTATCAATCTGCTAGATGGATATCTCCACCTGAGGCTATGTGGAGGATTTTTTCATTCAATTTGTCAGAAATCTATCCAATTGTTTATTCTTTACAACTTCATACCGAAGATCATCAACAAGTTACATACAAAAATACGGATGATTTATCTACTATTATTGAGAATGAAAATACAAGGAGAACAATGTTAACTGAATTTTTTCGATTAAATAAAGCAAACGAATTTGCTCGAACGCTTTTGTATCGAGATATCCCAACATATTTTGTTTGGAATGCAAATAACAAAATTTGGACTCCCAGAAAGAAACAAATTGTTATCGGACGAATTGTCTCAGCGAATCCATCGGAAGGAGAACGATATTTCCTTCGCATTCTTCTTAACCATATTAGAGGACCAACATCATTTGACGATATAAGAACTTTTAATGAAACAATTGTTGGTACATTTCGAGAAGTAGCACTTTTACATGGTTTATTAAGTGGAGACAATCGTTGTGAAGAATGTTTATCCGAAACTATTATTTACGAAATGCCTTGTTCTTTAAAACGACTTTTTGCTACACTTCTTACATTGTGCAATCCTAATCATCCAAAGTTACTGTGGGATAAATTTAAATCTTATATGATGGATGATTATGTACATCAAAATATACCTATTGAAGTCGCTGAAATACGAGCTCTGGAGGATATAAGTTCTATTTTAGAATCCCTGGGTAAAAATATAAATGATTATGGAATTGTGCCGTTTAATGTAAATATAAATGAAGATGAAAGGTTGACAAGAATGATTGCAGAAGAGACAATTAATTTGGAAATTCAAGAAACCTTTGCTTGTGCCGCAATGTTAAATAAGGAACAACAATTTGCATACGATACAATTATGGAAAAAGTAGAATCTGAATCAAGCGGTGCTTTTTTCATCGACGGTCCAGGAGGAACAGGTAAGACTTTTTTATACAAAGCACTCTTAGCTGGTGTAAGGTCTAGACATTTTATTGCTTTAGCAACTGCATCGTCTGGAGTAGCTGCATCTTTATTACCTGGAGGTCGAACAGCTCATTCGAGATTTAAAATTCCTTTGGAAACAATAGGAGAAGTCAATAGCTCTATTAGCAAACAATCAGCTTTGGGAACTTTGTTGAAAATGTCTAAACTAATAATCTGGGATGAAGCACCTATGGTAAATCAACTAATAATTTGGGATGAAGCACCTATGGTAAATCGTTGTACTATTGAAGCTGTAGATAAAATGTTTAGAGATATTACTGATTGTAACTTACCTTTTGGTGGAAAAGTAATCGTTCTTGGAGGAGATTTTCGACAGGTTTTACCAGTTGTACCGAAAGGAAAAAAAGAAGACATAATGAAAGCTAGCTTGGTTTTCTCATATCTATGGCCTTTGTTTGTACATCTACCATTAGTTCATAATATGAGAGCAAAGTTCGATTCTACGTTCTGCGATTACTTGCTTAGAATTGGAAATGGAACAGAACAAGAACATACTTGTAAATGTATTAAGCTTCCAAATAGTATAATTTTACCATTCGAAGATGAAATCACGTCTCTGAAAACTTTGATACATTGTGTTTTTCCAAATATAGAAGCTTATGCTGATCATTTACATACCATGGTAAACCGTGTTATTCTTACACCTACAAATGAATGTGTTGACTATATTAACAAACTTCTGCTTGAACAAATTCCTGGTCAAATTTTCACATACTATAGTTTTGATGAAGCAATTGAAAAATCAGAACAGTGCGTGCAAGAAGATTTCTTAAATACTTTGACATCAAATGGTATTCCACCTCATGAATTGAACCTTAAAATAAATTGTCCTGTAATGTTATTGCGGAATATTAATCCTTCTGAAGGGTTATGCAATGGAACACGTCTTACTTGTCGAAAATTTGAGAGAAACGTTATTCTTGCTGAAATCACTACTGGCGAATATTGTGGAAAACATGTTTTCTTACCGAGGATCCCTTTTATACCACTGAAATCTGATCGAACCACAATTCCATTTAAAAGAACTCAATTTCCAATTAGACCATGCTTTGCAATGACAATAAATAAAGCCCAAGGTCAAACACTTGATTTTGTCGGTTTGTATCTTCCAGAACCAGTTTTCTGCCATGGTCAGTTATATGTAGCGTTATCAAGAGCAAAAACAAGCAAATCTCTAAAAGTTTTACTGAAACCATCAACCACAGATACTTCGCACAACTCATGTACTGAAAATGTTGTCTATAAAGAAATTCTTTCCTTTATACATTCATAGAACAACCTTCTCACAGGTATATTTATTTCGTATATTATATTTAAAATACAGTATTTTACTATGCATAAAATAATATTTTTCATTTTATATACAGGTTATCGAAATTTCTATTGATGTTATTCGAAAGTTCAAATGAATTCTCTACTGCATCTGTATATTTCACAGGTATGAATTAATTTAAAAATAAAATATAATTTTTTTTATGAACATCTAATACACTTTCATTATATTTTTCCAACATTTGTATAGTTCTCAAAAAATAATTTTACATTGTTTTTTAGACTATCTGCCACATTTTCTTGGAAATAAAATATTAATTCATCAACAAAAGATGTCATATTAGTGTAAGTGGTGATACCATCTAACATGTTTTTTCTAAATAAAAACAAGTACACACATGTGTTGTATATAATAATCTCCGTATTTCTCTTATTCCATTGCCATATATGTACTATTATTTATCATTTCGCAAATTCCTCCGAATCCATTTTTTTGGTTTGTTCACGACACCTTTAATATAGAATCTTCCATATATCAACATTGGTTTTATAGGTACCTGATCTTTGTGATCCTCCATTCAAATTAATGAAACGAGTTAATATATTACCCTAATCTTTAAAATTTGCAGTTCAATAAATTTCTCAATTATGGTTAGTCTATTAATAATGTTTTCCATTACTTTAGTAGAATATATTCATTGACATTTTGTTATATGATTGGACACAGGTTTTCTGTTATTAGCAAGAGTTCCATCTTCTCAAAGGCATCCACGATTATTGTATTTGTACAATTTTTAGTCTATCAAAATCTTTTAATGTTGTCATATGACATTTTACATAAAGCGTGTCTTCGTGGAGTACAAGGGAACGAAACAGAGAAATTTCTTTCTTATTTTAAGCCATGTATAATACCCCAAAGAATGTGGAGTTGCTTCAGGTTTGAAGCATATGGAGGCCAAAAAGCATAAAACATGTTGTATATATGCAAAGGAAAGCACATTGTTCATATGAAAGAGGTAAGTTTTATGTTTCTCACTCTTCCTGGTCATAATACATCATAAAAATCTTTTTAGTAACAACTTCTTATATCTTTGACAAATGTGTTTTGCTTGATCTTCACTCAATCATGATGACATCTTTATTCTCGATACTAAATATGAAATCTTTCAGTTCAACGAATCCGACTCATGTAGTCAAGAAAGGGCAAGAAAGGGCTAAAACACTGGAAGTTTTAGTGAAAGAACGGGAAGGAAATGATTTTTAAGAGAGGTAGACCATCTGCAATGTTTCTAAGATTTGGAAATTACAATGAGATGCCTGAGGATTCGGAACTGAGGAGACTTCTAGCCGGTCCCAACCCATTACACCATAATTGCCATACTCCAACAAAGCCCCGGACGCCATGAAAATTAAACTCTTCTCTCATTTTATTTTAATTTCCAAAGACAGAAAAAAAAGAAGAAGAAAAACAAACAAAAAAAGTCAGTCTATAAATTGGTCTAAATATAATATATATGTTTGTGTAGAGTAACTTGGGTCCTTTGCACCTTTTTCTTTTGTTTCTTTTTGTCTTGGAATTTATGGAGGACCTTATGATATATGTAAGTACTTGTAAGCTTTTTAAAAGTTTCAAGGGGACATTATGCCCCATTTTGTTACATGCTGTTCATGGTATTTGTTAGGGTGTACACACACATGTTAATTAATAGTTAATCTTTTCAAGTATTTACACGATTATTTTGCATACCTTCACATATTCGCATACGTATGAAGTGAAAACACAAGAAATTGAACTTATGATCGTTTTCAAATATAATTTTGACAGCATAATGACAATTAACCATAAACCACAGTAGTATCACATTATCTGATTTTGTAATTTAGTTAAACATATTACACACAACACATTCACGAGAATTTCTTATGTTCGAAAGAAATTCTTAACATTCACAATGCTAATATTTATTTACCTTTAAAATAACACAACCTGTGCATTGCACGAGGCAAAAACTAACATGAAAACAAACTTCCCATAATAATAACACTACAACATTATGGAACTTACAGATCCTTCAAAATTTAAGCTTCACCAGAAAACATATTTTGTTTGGATTATAATTTCGCTCTTTTTTTTTGTAATATATAAAATTCAATCTTATATCTCTTTCATTCTTATTATTTTATTTTCTTTCTAAAATCATATATACTTGAGACTTCAACTTTTATTTTTTATTGTGTGTATATATATATATATATATTATGCATTCCATACTTCATAAAATAGTAAAAAAAAATGCAGATAATTTTTTTTTTTTTGAACGCTAACATTACTTCCGTAATCACATTGCCCGTGCATTGCACGGGCAATAGACTAGTATAGTCATAGAAGAGTCTCCAAACAGATCAAATTTAACAGATTATGATGCTTTGTCCATCAGCTGTATTGGACTCAGAATATTAGCCTTGCTGGTTTCAACAATACAACCATTCATCACCATTTCCTCCAGCATGAAATGTGCTTTTTCCAAATGAAACATTATGTCCAGCTCACACTGCAAAGTCATAATTTACAGTTCAGTCAAAGTCCAAAGGCGAAGACACAGAAAAATTTGTTTTATGAATTGTCTATGGTCAGAAACTTACCACATTGCCAAAATGGCGATCCATAGTTTCCACTAGTAGGTGGATAAACTCCAAAATTGCAAGCTCGTTCTACAAAATCAAATTCACTCAGAAAGCAGAAAAGTTTATTACGAAGTATTCACGATTGACGTTATTACATTCACACGGCAACAAAATTGAGAATAGAGCATGTTTGGCACAGCTTTAAGAGAGTAAAAGTTACTTCCAAACATGTTTGGATAGCTCAACTTTTTAAAGTAACAATTAACTGACTAAATAACTAATTTGTTTGAAACTTAGACAAATAAAAAATGATTTACTTAAAAACTAACATATTTACTTATAAGTGAACTTCTAAAGATTAGCCAAAAATGCTATGAAACAAGTAAAGTAGCAAGGTCTTCCTTCAAATTGAGTAGCCATTAAAAGAGCTTCTTCAGAACATTCACATACCCATAAACAAATGTCTCCAAAATGTTAACCCAAGAATCAAGTGATAGAGTAGTGGCAATGACAAAGGTTTAAATATGCAATACCAAAGTGATCATGCAGTGGCAATAACATTTTTTCTTAATATGCAATCACTAAACTAGCTAGGCATACGGCATGCACCAACTGAAGTTATTTTCTGAGATTCAAGCTCATTATGTAAGAAATCGAAGATGGTTTGTTTAATAATTTATATCTCGTAGGTTGTGCTCTAATAGCTTAATCTTATACATATCGTATAGGTGTAGTTAATTGTATCCAGTCTATTTACCATTCAACAGGCTAGAAGACATTTTGAGATAGCTAAAATCATCATAAAGGTCTAAATGATTAGAGATTCACTTTATCGTAGAGGTCAAATGTGGGTTATATCTTCCTCTACAAGAAACAATCATGGTCAGCTTTATCTACTTTGTACTTGAAGTTGCAATACTATTTACAATGTCCAAAGCATTTCTTTCCCCAATTTTTTTTATTAGAGTACTGTCTTAAAATTAATGGAATGAGAGAGATTGATGTCCAGCTGAGTGATCTTACAAAGTGTTTGACCCAAAATAAACAAGTGAGGACCAAAAACTTGCTGGGTAAATTTTATTTCAAGCATGCAATATGTTGTTTCCAACGGTATATAAGTTTACTGACGATGAAAGAGGCATGATATTGAATACACAAGAGATTTTAGTTATAGAGGATATTTCAAAATATGAGGACTTACTTCTTCATTGTCTACTCCAACCAAGAAAAATAACGATGCATAACGCCTATACACAATTTTGTAGTTCCGATGCTCGACAAACGAACACTGTTCAAAGAATAAGTAAGCAATCACAATAAAACATTACAGTCCACAAACAGCTTAGCATCTTCAATAAAAGAAAAAGCCACCAACTGGTTGTCTAAAGGTCCCCAAGCTTTCCACCATTCAAATTAGTCAAATAATATAAAACCAATATAAAAAGAAACAAGTCGTGTGAATGAGAAGACAGGACAATAAGCCATAACCTAGTAACAGCACAAATTGATTCAGTTTTAACACAGATTTATCAAAAAACTAAAACTGGTAGTTTTGAGATTGTCCACTCAACTTTGCAACTAAAGGGAAAAATGTCCCGGTTAATGAGTTTTGGTGTATTTTTACTGCTTACGAGCAAAACTCTACAACAAATACAGATCATCTGTGAGTACACAATCGGCCAGGGCCACTAGTTGAGGTTTTAAATCTATATTGTTAGCATGAATGCAGAACATCATCTTAAACCATGTAGATTCAACCTAAAATAGTCGAAAACTTAATTAGATTGTAGCAAATGGAGAAATTTCCTCCAGAAAAAAAGTACAACAAAAGTTAAAACATATCTATTGATCGTCGCTTTTCGGGCAAAGAATTTCAATATGGCTACTTTGGATCGAGATTGCTAGTTCTGACGACAAATTTCCTAGAAAGTAATCCTTGCATTTCTCCATATGTTATGCCATGCAATCGCTCTCCACTTGACGCCATGGTTAGTCTGCAATAATAATTAAAAGTCTGCTTTTTGGCACCGGATTGTGCGTGAGATCGAATTTAGGGCAGCTATACAATCAACAATTTGATCCACTAAGTTCCTACATCTCATCACCAAATTAAATTATAAACGTTTAGAATATATTAAAAATTCACTAACTCATATTCATATTACTAAACTAATCATCCAGATATCCTAATTTACACCCACGAACAATAAATTTTCTGCACATAATAAATAAGTATAAAAAATGGTCTTTTGCACAGAATTATAAGTAGGATAGAATTCAGGGAAGTTGTACTAAACATAATTTACACTATTCACATAATTTGTAATAAATGCACACCTGTTGCTCAGTGCGGGCAAGGCATTTGCGGACGATTTCACCTTCAAGTGCTCGGCGTTCTTCTAGGGTTAGATATTCATAATATTGGGCCAAACGGGTCTGCCCTTGCTTGTTCACCATTAAAATGAATCTGATTCCCATTTTCTTTGAGTTTCCTTTTCTCTCTCTTCTAAATTCCGTGTGCTTTTCTGCAGATCTCCCCTACCTGATTGATTTGCATCTGTTAGTGTAAATGTAAATTTCAATTTGTCTCTAATTTTTAGGATTAGTTTCAATTTGACCACAAAACTTTAAGATTTTGCAAATTTACCTATTCTTTCATCGCCTACGTGAGAAGAGGTTATATTTTCATTCTAGTAGACTTGAGAGCATCCTCAATGTATGCATTCTACGAATTACCATCTAGACCATACGAAAGTTGAAAACTTTCTATTTACATAGTAGTGATGTTTAATTAATATACCCTTAAGTCCAAAATTAGTCTAATGTTTTTTTATAGATTGCGTGTTTTTTAGTTAATTGCTTAAAAAATCACTGTATTTTTGGTTATGTCATGAAAACATAATTGAATTTCAAAATGAGTGCATGTTTGGAGGAAATTTTGGTCTCATTTTTAAAAAATTTGGACTGTTGCACAGTGAAATAACAGCAAATGAGACTGAGTCTAAAAAGAGAGAATTTTTTCATTTACCTTTATTACATTTTTACCGCATCAATATTTCAACCACCCAATTGAATTTATTTCCACTTTACTCTTTCCTTCTTCCATTCTTTTAGCAGTCCAATACATTCTTTTTTTTTGGCCTATGCTATTCAAGCAGGGGTTGCAAATACAGTAGATGATGAGTTTTCATTTGAACACTCTAACCAAACAGAAGGTGCAGAATTGAACGAGCTTTGGCCGAAATCCAAAAATCAGTCTCATGTCTTCACATTTCTTCCCTTTACAGTTCTTATGCTCCAACATCTTCAACCATTTTGTTGGTCGCTTTGTTTTGTTCTCGCATTTAGCCTGAAGTTGGAGACACTTGCAAACTCCGTCTCAAGTCTGAAGTCCTCCAGCGATAATCATGACTACAAGTTATTAAGCTTCCACCTTCGGGCACTTTCCTATTTTTCGTGCGTAATCGCGACTGCCTCCTGACCATTTTTACCAACTCTGGTGGGAGCCCACATGAGTTGAACTATTCCCATTTACGTTATTATTCAATAGACTTTTGCGATAACTAATTTGATCAGAGCTTTAACTAAAATTGATGTTAATAACAATTACTGCATTATGTACTCGAATTCTCTTCAAGCATCTCATTTTGCATAGGCCAACCAACAGCTCCCTTGGAGAAGAGGCACTCGATCTCAAAAGTGCTCATTCAGTATTTCAAAAGATTATGAATGATATTTTCAATCCTTTTGAAAATTTCATTACTGTGTATATTGATGATATTGTAATATTTTCTGAAAGCTTAGAACAACATTTCAAACATATCAATACATTCATCCATGTCATTAAGAATTATGGTTTAGCTATATCGGCTAAGAAAGTAGTTCTTCGTCAAACACGAATTAGGTTCCTAGGTCATTACATACATTTAGGAATCATTACTCCAATTCAAAGAAGTCTAGAATTCAAAGAAAAATTTCCTGATGAAATTCTAAATAAGTCAAGTTTACAGCGTTTTTTAGGCTGTGTCAATTACATATCAGACTTTATTAAAGAATAACTTTAGTATGCACTCATTTTTTTTTTCAAAGGTTGCAAAAGCATCTTGTACCATGGAGTCACGAGCATACTTTAGATGTACAAAAGGTTAAAGTTTAGGTGAGATCATGATGTCGTTTATGCCGAAGGAGTTAACCTCCATACCCGATTCCTCGTAATGGATAGTCCATCAGCATATAATGTTATCTTGGGGAGACCCTAGATCCTGATATGAAGGTTGTACCATCGACATTTCATGAAGTGCTCTGTTTTCCTACCAAATGGGGAATAAGGGAGATTCATGGTGACCAAAGAGATTCACTCCACTCAGACCAATGTCCTTTATAGCAATTAAGGTAATTTCAGCCTGTCATCCCAGACCATTCGGATGTAGAAGAGGTAGATGAAGTACATATCCATCCCGACATTCCAGAACACAAAACTCAAGTGGGGGCAAGGTTAGAACCAACGCTCAAGCAACACCTTTTCAAGTTTCTCATGGAACACCATGACCGTTTCGCTTGGTCTCACATAAACATGACCGGTGTTGACCCAGAGATAATGATACACAAATTGAATGTCGATCCCCAATACATTCTGATCAGACAGAAGTGAAGAATATTCGCTCCTGAACGAACCGCATTATCAATGAAGGTACGAAAACTTATAGAAGTTGGCTCCATATGAGAAATCTATTACCTAGGTTAGCTCGCTAATGACGTCGTTGTTAAAAAGAAGAATGGTAAGTGGAGAGTCTATATTGATTTCACAGACTTGAATAAGGCATGTCCAAATGACATCTTTCAACTTCTATATATCGACATGATGGTAGACTCGACCGCTGGATATGAAATTCTAAGTTTTATGGATACCTTTTTTAGGTTATAACTAGATTATGATGCACCTAACTAACCAAAACAAAACTGCTTTCGTGACGGAGCGAGGCACATTCTACTATAAGGTCATGTCATTTCGGCTAAAAAACACTAGAGCAATATATCAATGATTAGTGAATTGTATGTTCGTTGATCAGCTCGGAAAATCCATGGAAGTCTACATCGACAACATGCTGGTGAAATCCTTGATTGCAAAGCTACACATAGACCACTTGGAGCAATCCTTAGAAGTTCTAAAGAAGTGCAATATGAAACTCAATCCGTCCAAGTGTTTATTCGGAGTATCCTCTGCCAAGTCCCTAAATTACTTAGTAACCCAGAGGGAAATCGAGGTAAATTCGATCAAATCTAATCAATCATTAATATTTCATCTCCAACTTGCGTTAAGGAAGTTCAAAGACTTACTGGAAGACTTGCAACTCTTAATAGGTTCATTTCTCGATCTTTCGATAAATACCAGAAATTTTATAACATATTGAGGAAAAATAAAACTTTTGAATGAACTAAGGCATGTGAAGAAGTGCTTTAGCAACTCAAACAATGCTTAACTTCACCTCCACTCTTGTCAAAACCAAAAGATGGGGAACAACTCTACATGTACTTGGCGGTATCTGAGACAGCTATTAGTGTATTTTTGGTTCGTGAAGAAGAAGGAAAGAAATTCCCCATTTACTATGTCAGCAAGACATTACTAGATAGAGAGACTCGTTATTGCAAACTGGAAAAATTAGCTTTGTCGCTTGTTAGCACAGCTTGAAAGCTAAGGCCTTACTTCCAGAGCCATTCAGTAGTTTTCGTAACATGCTCCCGCTAAAGGAGATACTCCACAAGCTTGAGTTATCTGGACGACTAACAAAAATGGGCTGTCGAATTAAGTGAATATAATATTTCCTTTGCACCCCGTACTGTCGTAAAATCTCAAGTGCTTGCAGATTTCATCATTAATTTTGCTCCTAACTCTCAGGTCCTAGCCCAAAAAGGAACTTATTTGCTTGACGGACCGACCGATGATAGGTACATGGATCCTCCAGGTGAACGGGTCAAGCAGCATCAATGATGCAGGCCTTGGCATCATCTTAACATCACCAGAAGGAGGGCAGGTAGAATAGGTGGTCAGGTGTGATTTAAGGCAACTAACAATAAGGCAGAATACGAAGCACTCATTGTCGGACTGATCTTGGCAAAAGAACTATGAGTCGCTCGAATAAATGTTCGCAGTGATTCTCAACTTACTGTAAACCAGATATAAGGCAACTTCCTAGCCAAAGACACAAAGATCACATCTTACTTAGAGTTAGTCAAATAGCTCAGCAACAAGTTTGATGAGTACCAAATCACTTAAGTTCCACGGACCAAAAAGGTCCAAGCAAATGCTCTAGCCAGCTTCGGAACAGATATGAATACGAAACAATGCAAGGTCATCCCAATGCCCTACTTGCAATGGCCAGTAATTCGAAAGCAGATTGAAACCAAAAGTTTTCATTTAATGGAAGAGCAATTTTGGATGACTCCGATTGTTAGATACCTCCAAAATGACGAACTGCTACTGACAAGAATAAAGCTCAACGAACTAAGGTTAAGGCTGCCAAATTTTGTATTATAGATGGTGAGATGTATAAAAGATCTTTTTCTGTACTTTATTTCCGATGCATCGGCAACGCTGAAGTTGAATATGTCCTAGCTGAAATTTACGGAGGAGAACGTGGCAATCACTCAGAAGCCCAAAGCTTAGCGCACCATACACTTACCACCAGATACTATTGGCCAACAATGCGAGCTGATTCTTTTAATCATGTCAAAAAGTGTAATCGATGTCAATGATTCACCAATGTCTCGCATTTCCAGCCATAACGGCTTAACCCCATTCTTTCACCCTAGCCTTTCATCAAATAGATGATGGATGTCACGCGTTTTATTTAATGTGAAAATGCCGCAAGTGTATGGTATCAAATTTTGTAATATAATGATGAAATACAGAATTTCGAACCCACGAGGATTGATAGTTGATTTCCACTGAATACTATAATTGAGTAGTTTCTCCTTTATTTAGACAATCAAATTTTGAATAAGGTTGTGATTTTGAGTTAATGGCGATAAACTAAAATTTGCAAGTGAACGGAAACAAAACTCAAAGAAATTATCAAATTATGAAAGCCTAGGAAATGATTTCATCACACTATCAACAATGTTTTCAACCTATAATATGTCATCTCAATCATATTTTTCTTAATTTATAGGCAAGAACCCTAATTTTATTCTATTCCCTCTTTCGAGTGCCGAACAGAACTTATTCCTACAAATTTATTCCAATATCTCCATTCCGAATTAAACATGTAGAAATTATAATGAACGTGGTTCTTAATTCAAACAAGCCCCAAAGATCCGTATTTTCTCTCGAAATCTATAAAATCTAGGTTATGTTGTTCATAGATCACGCCTAAATTTCCCTCACTCGTGTGCCAAAATTCATGCATCAAATCATTTAAATATTGGCCAAGTAATTGAATGCATTAAACTTGAACAACATAAATAAATAATCAGAAAAATTCAAAAGAGATTAATTAGTTTCAAGAGGATTACATCAAACCCTAGATCTAATGTGTTAGTTCATGATAAATACAATTGATAACTTGGAATTTATCATTGAAAACATGGAAAAGAATACAAGGATTTAGAAAAACTCTTCGTTGCCGCTTGATCTCTTCTCCTAAAAGTATCAATTGCTCCTTCTTCAAGAATTTTGTCTTCAATTCTTCTTGCCTCTTTCGGCCATCCAAAAAGCCCCTTTTTAGGTCTTCCCAAAGTGTATTAACAGTCACACAAGTTTGCAAGACGAGTTGAAGTGGATTGGGCCGGGTTTCTCTTAAAAAAATTCAAAATTTCCTTTCTCGGTGCCCAGCGTCGCAACACCAGCCTCTCTGTCTACTTCGCGACGTCGCGACGCTAGCCCCTCTGTCCTCCTTAGCATTTTTTTCATTTTCTTTGCTTTTTTTTTTCCATTTTGTTTCTTCCTCAATCTTCTTCATTGAATTGCCTCTTTCCATGAGCACTACCGTAACTCCATTACACGCTTCAAATTACTTCTTTTTTATCCAAGTTGCTTACCTACAAAATAACATAAAGACATGCATCAAAACGCTCTAAAATACTCAAGATCCAACCGAAAAACTAAGATTCAAAGGTACTTATTTAATTAGTTAATTAAACTCATCAATGAACATTGTCGAATAACTTCCAACTGCTCGAGGACAGCGAATTTTCATGCTAGCAGTCACGGACTATTTCACGAAATGTATTGAAGTCGAGGCACTCTCACAAGTAGAGCCAAGTAGAAAAACATATCACTTATCAAAGATCAACACTTTCCTCATCAATGGGGACGTTGATAGCGTCAAATGTGGGGGTAGGAAGATCTCGTGATGACACCAAAAATTATTTGGAATCTAGAAGCTGGTCTATAAAAATGGCCACGTAGATTCTATCAAGCTATTTAGATGAAGAGGACCACACTGTTGCCTTCAAGTCGTCTGTACAAGTTTGGTCCTACCATCACCATCATACCAATCTGAACGAAGACTCAGTTGCCTTCGAATTGGGATACCCTTCAAGCCAACCAATAACATTACCTACCAAACCGGATGGATCGAACTAATTGAATCCTTTGTAAAAATGCATTTGTGAGTCTATTTTATCTTTTAAATTGGTAAGTAAGTCCAATTTCTATTTGAATATTATGATCATAAATTTGTGCATGATTTCATTATAATTAGAATGAAATTCTAAAGTTCGATATTTGATCAAGTTTTTAGGTAGTCTAGCACACAACCCTAATAAGTCTACACATTACATAATTTAGAAAGACATAAGTTCAAATACGCTCATACAAATACTGATACATAAGTCCGAATGAAAATGACAGTCGGGAAGCACAGTTGGAAAATGTGCTACCAAAGGGATTTAAGATCCCATCATCGGCATTCCCGACTCCCTTGCCAGACGCAGCCCTGACTTCGGGCTGTTTTTTTACCATATTCGACATACCAAGCATCTGGTACAATTCAGCATAATTGGCAATTGCGTTGTCCACATCCCAGCTAATATGTTTACCTTTTTTTATAATCATTTATAAGAAAGACTCTAGTGGCTGTTTCAACTTCTAGTTGACAATTCTCTTGACGATCCTCTAAAGAAACAATTCGAGCCCCAGAACATTTCTTCAAATTTGCAAGCTCCTCTTCCAACACAAGCTTCTCATGAACCGTGTCGACTAGTTTATCTGTCTCCTTTCTAGGAGCCAAGTCATCATCTTTCTTCCCAGACCTCAAACTTTCGACTTCTCCTATAGTGAAGTATTTACTTCCTTTAATGAGCAAACCTTTCTGGCATATCTAACAGCTTCGTTTTCTCAAAATGTTTCCTTGCAAACCCTGGAATCAAAGAAATAAGTTCACGTTAACCTATTAGGTTATCCATAATGAAGTACACAAAAAATAAGTACCTAAAAAATCTGAGCCATCGTGTTCTTGAGTGCCTTTACTGGACCAAATTACTCATAGCGCGTCTGATTTTCAGGAAATAATATACTTTTACCAAGCGCTACCAACATCGGATTAGAGAATGCAGATGAATTAAATGGAAAGGTAAGCACGATCGAATCATCATCTGTCGACAATGGCCCTAGATGATCGCGTTTGTGTATTGATAGGGATGAAGCATCAAGTAGTTCGGTCTGGCTCGAGAAATCATTAGATGGGACTGGAGTGTCACTAGTCTTGTAAGATAAGAAAACTTAGACTTTTCTTACGCCTTTTTCCTTTCCAAAGCGTCATGTGAAGATCTTACCACTCTTGACATGATTCGATCTGCAATCTCACATTCAGTCGAGTTAAGTGAACCGGTCAAAGGAAAATTACTACCAAGAATTTCCATACCTCTCTTTGCCATTATAATAGGGATTGTATGTTTTGGGAAATCAGAAGGAATACTTCATAGTTCTATCGAAGTATGATCCCACAAGCTCTAGAAGAAATAACATCTGAAGACAAAAGGAACCGGCTGCCCTTTGATCCTTGGGT